CTCCTGGATCTTCTGCACCATGAGCCCCACGGCCTTGTGCACCTGCTCGGGCTCGCCGCTCACCGTCACCACGCGCTCCTGCAGGTTGATGCCGTCCGGCTTCTGGCTCAGCTGCACCCAGGCGCCCGACTGCTCCATGATGGCCTTGACCGTGGCGCCGCCCTTGCCGATGATGAGCCCCGCCGTGCTGTTGGGCACGATCAGCTTGGCCTGAAGGGGAGAGGACCCACGGCCTTGTGCACCTGCTCGGGCTCGCCGCTCACCGTCACCACGCGCTCCTGCAGGTTGATGCCGTCCGGCTTCTGGCTCAGCTGCACCCAGGCGCCCGACTGCTCCATGATGGCCTTGACCGTGGCGCCGCCCTTGCCGATGATGAGCCCCGCCGTGCTGTTGGGCACGATCAGCTTGGCCTGAAGGGGAGAGGAGGGTCAGAGGAGGCTGGGGCTGCATGCTGGAGGGGCCCTCCCTCCTCGCCTGGGGCTGAGGTGCAGCCAGCTCTGGGGTGGAGCAGGGGTGGGTGGTGATATACTGGTGCTGAGATGTGTCCATCTCCAGAGTGGGGCATGGTGATATGCTGGTGCTAATATAGTCAGCTCTGGGGTGGATCGGGGTGGTGATACACTGGTGCTGAGATGCAGCCAGCTCTGGAGAGGGGCAGCTCTGGGCTGGTGATACAGGGACTCCTCTTTCACTGCCAAGATGCAGCCAGCTCTGGGGTGGGGCGTGGGGCTGGCGACACACGGGCACTAAGACACAGCCAGCTCTGGGGTGAAGGGAGATCAGGAGTTGGTTATGCATGGGCTCTCTCTCGCACTGCCACGATGCAGCTGGCTCTGGGGTGGATCAAGGGCTGGCGATGCAGCAGCACCAGGATGCAGCCAGCTCTGGGCAGGGGAGGAGATCGCGGGTTGGTGATACAGTGACTCCTCTCCCAGTGCCAAAGTGCAGCCAGCTCTGGGGTGGAGCAGGGTGGTGACACACCGGTGCTGAGATGCAGCCGGATGCGGGGTGGGGGGGCGG